CAAGAAATGATCTGTTCTGGTTGTCAAAACACCAGGCATGGCACTGATAGAGACCAGCAATTTCCCATCTGGAGTCCCAGGGGAGCTAGGGGTCTAAAAACCCAGGAGAAACTTGAGCCATAACAGGTCTCAGTAACCCATGTGGGAAGATACAGCTCAGAAAAAAAGGGAACAAAGCCCAGAGCTCCATTAGATACACTGAGGGTGTGGTCTTTAAACCAAGAAGACTTATACACTGGACAAACAGGGCAATTTCTGGACTAGAAATGTGTCCAGAAGGAGATCAGTTTAACATGCAAGATAGGAGTTTTCAAGCTTTCCTGATAGCAACCAACACTAAAATAAGTAAAATATATATTTCACACACAACCGGAACACACAAATATATATATATATATACATACATATTACTTAAGTAATACTTAAAGTTTACTATGGATGATGAAATCTGTCCATTCTATTCTGCTTCACTTTTTAAAAAATGTTGATTGTGACTCACTAAATTGATTTCATGATCCACTATTGAGTAGTAACCTACAGTTAAAAAAATAATGATATAAGGGAAAGGAATCTTCACCTTTAATTGTTCAGATAATAATCTAAAGTTTGTTGTCTTTTACTCCAGAACAAGCTTTGAAGAACCAGATATTCTTTGTTATCTTGTGTCCTGGAGCAACCTGGGCTCAGACTTTACTAAGAACCAGAGACAAGGATGAGTCAGGCCCAAAACAAAATTAAAACAGGACCCAAAATCCATGTTAAGGTAAGGAAAGACTTGGGAATCTTCTGACACTTTTAACTAATAAAGTATGCACTCTTCAACTAAGAATATTTCTGTAAGCTTAGGAACTAATTTATTAGTGCAACATAAAAACAATTAGAAATTTCAAGAAATAGCTTTGGAGAAAGGAAATGTAATAAAATACTGTGTACTTTGCTGACAGTAAAATATATTTACATAGCCACAATAATGTAAACATTTTTTTAACTTTCCATTTGTAGAATACACCAATAAGAAGCAGTGATTTATTTATTTGAATTTTGTATTTATCGTTCTTATCAACCTTCAGATTCAAGAGGAAGTGTAAAGAAGTGTATGGTGGTGAATGTTATGAGGTATACATGTGGGAAGAGAGTTGAGGAAGGGAAGTGTGACTAAGACCTCTATCTTAAAAATTTAAGAGTTAAGGATACTGTACTTTGTTTCTAGTGATAAAATAAAAATTATAACATATTACTTAAAGCTGCAGAGATAACTAATATTGGAAGCAAAATAGTGATATGAATTTATTGGTCACCTGAGGAGAAGAGAAACACATGAGTAAAATTCTCATTTCCCATAGCAGGAAGACAATATAAAATGTATACAACTGAAAAATCAAGCAAGAATATGCAAAAAAGAAATAGAAACTAGACCACCTACTTACACCATATACAAGAATAAACTCAAAATTGATTAAAGACTTACATGTAAGACCCAAAACCATAAAACTCCCAGAAGAAAATATAGGCAGTACTCTCTGACACTTTACTGATATATCTTCTCAAGCAAGGGAAACAAAAGAAAAAATAAATAAATGGGACTACATCAAACTAAAAACCTTTTGCACAGCAAAGGAAACAATAAAAAAAGAGACAGCCTTCTGAATGGGAAAGCCTACTCATATTCAACAATGATATATGCAATAAACGGTTAATAACAAAAGTTCATAAAGCGCTCATACAACCCAACACCAAAAAAACCCCAAATAATCCAATTAACAAATGGGCAGGGGACCTGAATAGACATTTCTCCAAAGAGGATATACCATGGCCTATAGACATATGAAAAGATGCTCAACATCACTAATCATTAGAGAAATGCAAGTGAAAACCACAAGGAGCTACCACCTCACACCTGTCAGAATGGCTATCAATAAATCAATAAACAACAAGCGTTAGGGAGGATGGAAGAGGAGAAAAGGGAGCCCTTGTGCACTGTTGGTGGGATTGCAAACTAGTACAGCCACTATGGAAAACAGTATGCAGGTTCTTCAAATCGTTAAAAATAGAACTACATTATGACCTAGCAATTCTACTTCAGGGTATTTATCTGAAAAAATCCAAAACACTAACTCAAAGAGCTATATGTACCGCTGTGTTCACTGCAGCACTATCTACAATAGCCAAGATATGGAAGCAACCTAAGTGCCCATCAATAGACAATTGGATAAAGAAGAGGTGGTACATATATGCAATGGTATATTACTTTGCCATAAAAAAGAATGAAATCTTACCATTTACAACAACAATGGATGGATCTAGAGGGTATTATGCTAAGTAAAATAAGTCAGACCAAAAAAAGACAAATTCATATGCTCTCACTTACATGTGCAATCTAAAGAACAGAATAAACAAAAAAACCAAATAGACTCATAGATACAGAGAACAAACTGATGGTTGCTAGACGGGAGGGAGTTGGGGTCCTCAGTGAAAACGGTAATGAGATTAAGAAGTACAAATTGGTAGTTACAAAATAGTCAGGGAGATGTAAAGTACAGCATAGGGAATATACTCAATAATATTATAAGAGCTATGTATAGTGCCAGGTGGGTACCGGACTAATCTAGAGGGATCACTTAATAAATTCTATAAGTGTCTAACCACTATACTGTATACCTGAAATTAATATAAAATAGTATTGAATGTCAACTGCAATTGAAAATAAATAAATGCATTTTTTAAAAGACAAAAAAAGAAATAGTGGAACATATATTAAGTTTAGGGATATGGAAGTAACGTAAAAAAGTGGGTAAAGTCATTAAATTTGAGGATTCTAAGAGTTTCTGTTTCATCAATTCCTAGGGAAACCTCTATGTGGATGAATGAGGTAAAATCAGGGTGGGAAACTTGATTTTTGCCAGAGCCAACTGACAGATTCCAGCAGAGAAAGATATGCTTTGGGCCACAAAGGACCCTGACAAGGATCTGGAGCAGCTCACCAGTCCTTGGGGTGTATCCCTGGAGGGTGAGACCCTGGACATTTCACCTCTCCGAATGGAGTCATGATCCCAGACATCCTATTAGCACTATTAGCAATGTGGCCTTGCTCAATGCCAACAGTTGGAAATGGACAAGGACTTCTGCTGAGCTGAGAGCCCCACATGTCATAGGAAAGGGAAGACAGGAGCAGAAGGAGGAGGAAATCATGATTATCTATCTCCTGGCAGTCGGTGTCATTGGTTTGATATCTCTGACAGTTTTATTTTCTCTGAACATCAGACCTTCATTTCAAAAGAAAGTTGCGAGCAGAACTCTATCTGGGAGGTTACTGGAGGGCCAGGACTAGGCTGAGGTGAGGTGAGAAAGGCACTTGACTTGTGGACAAAATTTCAGGGGGCACCAAAATACTCAGTAATATAAATAAGGTAAGTAATATTTTGATGTGAAGGGCCACTGAGTTTGCCAGCCTGCCACACCTTTGCTTTGGTTGCTATAGTTTCGGGCATTGTGACCCAACAAACTCTGGGGTCATACCACAGGGTCATAAGCAGCAGGGAAGAGCCTTGGCCAATCATCAGTGTCTTCCCAGCTGCTGAGGAGGGTGCTGAAGCCAGCTGCGGGTGCCCAAGAACTCAGCACTGCCCAAATCCATCTAAAGGGGCACTTCTCCCTTCGTGGTGGCACATTTTCAGCCAAAAGTCAACTATAACTTTATTATCAAGGTAATGAGTTTATAAATTTCATTTTTTTACAGTTCTTTAGAAGGCTATTTATTCACTCTACTGGTGTTAGTGTTTTCCAATGGTCCTATGTGATAACTGTTACAGCTATTTACCTAATTTCACTTCCTTTAATGTAATGAGAAAGACTCTGGTTGAACTGGGGGTTAGGCAAAATTCAGTTAAAGGAGATGAGGTGAGCTTGATTCTTTGAAGGTACCTGAGAGTGGGTAAAGAAAGTGGAGACAGGTGAGATTTAGTTAGTGGAGTTGGGTAGAAGTAAATCACCACATTTAATTCTGACAGTCTCTAGATCTCCTTTTAAAATTTGCTACCCAGCCTGAAATTTTTCCTGATTGGTGTTCTCCCAAGTCAGTATTGTTGGGTCTAGATAATCAGTAAAGAGGCAGGATGTCAAATTAAAGTTTAAAGTCCCGAAGATTTTATTAAGGTGAGCTCAGCGACCGCCCCTCCAACTAAGGAAAAAAACGGTCCTGAGGTCTCAGTGGGTAGGGTTTTTATAAGGTGGGGGTTAAACGTAAAGTAAATTACAGAAGCTAAAAAGAATGTGTAGTTATTTTAGTTAAAACTGCATCCCGCTGTTGCAGTAGTGTTGTTATGTCCAGGTGTCTTGACAGTACATCGCGACCGGGTTGATAAAGTTAGCTTGCTTCAAGGCCTCCTGAAATGTTAACATGAAGGCTGGAAGAGGAAGGGGGAACTGCAAGGCCTGAGGAAGGGGGAACTTCAAGGCCTGAGGAATGTTGTTCTTTAACCTTTTATTCCCCAGCAGAAGCAAAGCAGGTGTACAGAAGCAAAAAGAGCTGTTAGTTCCTGTGAAATGGTCTAAGCCAGTTGTGACAAAACTACTTCTGCAAAACATTCTTAATATTTCTGTTGCAACCCATTTCTTGTAAAGCTAGGCATTTCATTGTCTTAATGGGAAGTTCTGCTTAGAGTCTAGCTGGAGTAGATGAAGTATAATTTTTAAAAGTGAGTCTGTCCGGCCTAGGGTCCAGGCCGAGATCCTTACAGTATGATAGTCCCATGGTTCCACATACTTGGTGTGGAGAGTCTAAACTAAGGGAAACTACAGATTGTGCTAAAAGTTAATGATCCTGATCATCAAATTCAAATATTTCAGCATGTCCATTCCTCACTGCTCACCCCACCAGTTCCTAGCCTAAACCTGTATGAAACACAGAGATGGCGTTCAGGAAGCCCTCCGGAGATTCTTATTCAAACCGAGCCGGTTTCTAAAAACACTATATAAACTTTTCAGATTGCTTTCTCTTTCAGATGGCTGATACTATTGACTGGTTACACAGCCCCATGGACGTGTGCAAGGTTCATCTCTATAGCCCAAAACAACCGCAAGAACAGGACCGGGAAGTGGTAAGATACAAAATTACTCCTACTACGGAGTGAAAAGCTTTGGCATATGAATAATGATATCCTGGAACCCAGGATAGATGAATGGAGGGTGATAAGTGTCGTTTCTCCAAGAAACCAAGCTCAATAAAGTCTGTGAGGGTCCAGTATGCTTATAAGTCATTCAGGGACAAACTGAGGGAGGGGCAGGATGAGGAGTGATGTCAAGGAGCTGGGGAGGGAAGGTGGGCGGAGCCTCAGGGGAGGAAGGGGTGCTGGTTGCCTAGTTACCAGCCTCTAGTCTGTAACCTCTGAAGTCATAATAATATCACCTAGCTACCAGTTACCTAGTTGCACTGAAGTGGGACTCCCCTCAGCAGGGCAAATTACTTCCTGTTTTGCAAAATTTGAGAGATTAGCATAGTACTTCACATTTTTTTATCATGTTCAAGGACCACTCATATTATTGTTTATTTAATATGTATTTCTGCAATGTTTTTAAAATTGTCTTACATTTGAAAATTACCTTCACCCTAAACAATATTATCCATAATATCACAGGTTTGATATTATGTACTTTTCCAAAAAAAACAATTTAAAAATGCACCCATTAGACACAGAAATGTTTATCCAGGTACCACCTAAAGTTTCTATAGCATCAATAGTAAAAATACCATTTTTTAAAAATTATTTTTTATTATGAAATACACAGTTTATAGAATTAGTTTCAGCTGTACAACACAGTGCAATAGACTTTTTACCCCTCAAAGTGACAATCCCCCTCCCCCAATCGGCCACCCCATTTCCCCCAAATATCATACATATCTATTACAATTCCCTTGACTCCACTCCCACACTATACTCCATGTCCCATGAC